GTTGAGAGCGTGAAATTGCTGAGTTTTTTTGTCATCGAACTACAAGCTTGACACCGTGCATTTATCTTTGAAAAGCTCATAGGTTCCCCTGATGACTCCAGCCTTGGCTTCCTACGAAGCGAGAATGCTCGAAGATATGTTAGGCAGCTTCCGCAATACCCAAGGCAAAATTTTGCTGCTAGATTTCCTAATGTGTCTGCTGGTGCTGCTGATTTGTTGGAGAAAATGCTGGTCTTTGATCCAAATAAGCGTATTACAGGTAAAAATGAGGCATGATAGTGAAGGACTAGTTTGTGACATTGGAGCAACAGTTTTTTTAAAATCAATGACTGTAAACATGGGGTAAAATTGAACATTCAGGGACCCATGTAACATTGATAGTGCATAAAAAATAAGAATTAAATACGAAAATAGCATCATATGTTGTTTTATATTTATGAGACATTTCCTGTAAGCTTGGCTATGCATTTGATCTGGAAGTAAGTGTATTACTCGATGAAGTGAAATTACAAATCTTAGTAAACTAGTAGAATAAAATATGGTTTGTCCAACATTCTGAAATTGTATCAGAATGGTTAAAATTGAGCATATTTTCTCATCAATGAAGCTTTTATGTGGCCAATGATTACATTTTTCCTTTGTTTGCAGTTGATGAGGCATTGTGCCATCCGTACTTGGCACCTCTCCATGACATCAACGAGGAGCCTGTTTGCCCAAGGCCTTTCAGCTTTGATTTTGAGCAACCATCATTTACTGAAGAAAACATCAAGGAACTCATCTGGAGGGAATCTGTAAACTTCAATCCAGATCCATGAGAATTACGTGATTAACTTGTGTGCACTTGGGAAGGTATCCCATGATTATGATGTACAACATTATTACATAAAATCCATCGGAGTCTCTGAAAAAAGAAGAGATAAGGAACATACTGAGTACATTGGATTCGCTTACAATTTTCTGTAGAGGTCTATCAACTGATATCTCAGATTTTTTACAACATAAGTGGCACAACTCTTTAAGTTTGCTGGGCAGAATCTCCATACAGGTTCCATCTTTAGTTGGTGTAGGTGACCTTGGGCTGTGCCATGGGCAACTTCAGCGTTATGACGAGTGCTCTAGGAAACTCTATTGGTCTTGTGTGTGAATTCTGCATGGTTGTGAGGACGATCAATAGTCCCTGTTTTTTTTTTTTTTTTTCCAGTTTCTGAAAGTTGATTTTTAATGTGAAGTATTGCTTTGATATGATAGGTTATAACATGTTTCTCATCTTTGACCTGGAAGAGATGAAATCTGTAGATATTACTTCTGATATTGTTGTGCTGGTTATTGTGAAATGGTTATGCTGTATGGTGATTTGGATTTACTTTAGATGATGAGACGTAGGTGCTGTTGTTTGGCCTGTCTGTGTTATGGGGATTTCATAAGCTTTGTATCTTCAACTGTCAGCCGCAGTAGCTGTATTTGATGAGAGAGATCCAGACCCATGCAGGTGCAAAGATTGTGTTATTATTTCCGCGAGAAGAACATGAATCATGGCTAAGTTGTATTGTTTTCATGGGACTCCGAAGTTGAATCAGGTGATTTTATCTTGACTTGAGACCGATTCTAAAAGACCTTTAACTTCTAATTGGGCAAGTTTTGTTGTTTTTTTCTTGTGTGTTTAACATAGTTTTTAATAGTAGATGCTCTTGTAAAAATGTGTGCCATGGTGCTCGCAATAGTAAAATAATTGTTGTGACAAACAATATTGCAAAAATATTATTAACTATTAATAAATTTATGGGCAAATTGTTTACAAAGTATCTTGAATTATTGGTCAATAAGAAAAGAGTCTTTAATCTTTTTTTATTCTGATTTAAGTTCCTAACTTTTTTTTTTGTAATTAAGTTTTTTAGTCATGTCAATTGATTTTAGATCATATTGAAAGCACATGAGAGATATGGAAAGTCATAAAATGATAATAGATGTCTTGTATTTAGAGCTCTTAGGATGTTGTGTTGTTTTAATGGCTCTGCATCTCTCTTATTGTATTGAATTGGTTAACATGATGGAAAAATTTAGACAAAAATCAGAAGATTAGCTTTTTGATTAATGGCTTAGAATACTTTGTAGAGATAATTATTAGAGAAAAAAATCGTATTTCTAAAAAATTTATTAATTTATTTGTAAATATCTCAAATCTAAAATATTATTTTTTATCAAAATATCTAATAGTTAACTTTCAATTTAACACTAGTTAACTATTATTAATTAATGAATTTTTTTAAATAAAAGATTTTTTTAGAGTTTTTTTGGTAATTATCTAATAATAATTTCATTTATAATTTTTTTCGAGTTTTATTTTTTAACCATGATTAGATTTATTTATTTATTTTTAATTGCAATTGAAAAGAAAGAAAAAAGTATTCTCGGGTTTTTTATTGCTAACACATTGGCATTTGGCTATTATTTTTTTATTACTAAAAAAGTTTTTTTTTGTAAGAGGTTTTATTTCTTTCTATGAATTGTTTATTTTGTCAATTAAAGAACTAGTTTTACTATTTAATAGTTATAACAATTGATACAATTTAATTAATAAATATTGATAAAATAAAACTTTTGTTATTCTTTTGTAATTTAATTCAAGGAGTAACATACAAATTTAAAAACTAATAATATATATGAATATGAACACTAGTGATCTTTTAAATATTAATATATTGTTAAGGGAAAAAAGAAGCACCATTAGTAGTATTATTTTTTTAATTATTTAAAATTTAGCACTTTTTATTAAGTAATTAAATTAAATTATGCAATGAATGTATAACATATTTTGATACATTAATTAAATAGAATATAGACATTCTCAATAGAAATACATATCTTGAAAGATAATGGTTTAATTTAGGTTACGAATAATTAATAAAAAACTCTTTTAAAAAAAATTGTCTATCTAAAGAACTCAACAATTTATCAACTCGTTAATAAATTTATGGGTAAATTTAACATTTTTAATTAAGTAATTAAATTAAATTATGCAATGAATGAGTAACATATTTTGATATATTAATTAAATAGAATATGGACATTCTCAATAGAAATATATGTCTTGAAATATAAAGGTTTTTCAAATAGGTGATGCTCACATTCGTGATTTTGAATTATGATTTATTACAATAGTAAAATAACGATTGTGGCAATTGATGTTGTGAAAATATTATTAACGGTTAATAAATTTATAGGTAAATTGGCTATAAAGGAACTTGAATTATTGTTGAATTAGAAAAAAAGTTTTTAATCTTTTTTTTTAATTCTGATTTGAGTTCCCAACTTTTTTTTTAATTAAGGTTTTTAGTCATATCGACTAATTTCAGATCATATTGAAAGCTTATGAGAGATTTGTAGAGCCATAAAATAACGATATATGTCTTGTATTTAGAGCTTTCATGATGTGTCGTTTTAATGACTTTACGTCTCTTTTATTGCATGAAATTGGTTAACATGAAAAAAAAATTAACTGCGGACAAAATTAAGAAGATTGGCATTTTGATCAATAGTTCAAAATACTTTGTAAAGATAATTATCAGAAAAATCCTTTAAAAAAAATCTTGTATTTAAATAATTTATCAATTTATTTTTAAATATCTCAAATCTGCAATAATATTTTTTACCAAAGCATCTAATAGTTAACTTCCAACTTAACAATAGTTAACTATTATTGATTGATGAATTTTTTAAAATAAAAGATTTTTTAAAGGATTTTTTTTTTGGTAATTATCTAATAATAATTTCATTTATAATTTTTGATGAGTCTTTTTTTAGCCATGATCAGTTTTAGGGTTTTTTTTTATTGCTAAAAAGTTTTTTTTTGTAAGAGTTTTTATTTCTTTCTATCAATCTTTTATTTCATCAACTAAAAAATTAGTTTTACTACCTAATATAATTCAATTAATAAATATTGATAAAATAAGACTTTTGTTATTCTTTTGTAATTTAATTCAAGGAGTAACATACAAATTTGAAAACTAATAATATATATGAATATGAACACTAATGATCTTTTAAATATTAATATATTGATAAGGAAAAAAAAGCACCATCAGCAATACTATTTTTCAATTACTTAAAATTTAGCACTTTTTATTTAGTAATTATATTAAATTACGTAATGAATATATAACATATTTTGATATATTAATTAAATAGATTATGGACATTTTCAATATAAATAAATATCTTGAAAGATAATGATTTAATTTAAGTTAGAAATAATTACTAAAAAACTCTTTTAAAAAAATCATCTATCTAAAGAAATCAATAATTTATTTTTAAATATTTTAATTCAAAATAATATTTTTCTTATTAAAATATTTGATAGTTAACTAGTGTTGAGTTGAGATTTAATTATTGGATGTTTTGGTAAGAGAAATATTATTTTGGATTTAAAAAATTAAAAAATATATTAATAGGTTTTTTAAATAGAAGGTTTTTGTAGAAGGTTTTTTTCTTTTTTTAGTAATTATCCCTACTTTATAACCAATTAGCCTAAATTTATTCTAATTTATATATTTTTAACAATTTAACTAATTAAACGTAATAATAACATCTCTAATACTTTAATTTCATAAAATACTAGTCGAATTTATTAAATAATAATAATAATAACAACGCTTCTAATAATTCGACAGGACAAACGATATTAAAATATAAAGAATATTTTTTTAGATATAGCGGTCGATATGTGTTAAATGATAATAGCGATTCGTTATTGTTTGCTGTAACTGCTATGTACGTGAAACAACTAATAAGTTTCTATAACGAAGAATAATAGTAAGAAATGCGTCGGATACCGTTATATAACTACCGTAATATTACGTAACGACTACTATTTCCAACTATGGTGCTTAATGCATTTCAATCCCAATCCATGGAGAGCTTGTGTCAAACTAGTAGATTATATAATTTTTTCGGTTGGAGCTAGTAGTGTTTATACATGGATTGATGGTACTAGAAAACAAAGTTCACATATAACTCATTCTGTAAGAGCACTTTTTAAGCTGTACCGAGTCAATTGGTATCTTTTCCGGAGGAAAATCACATGATGTAATTTTCTCTGGCCCTTGATCAGGCAACAAATCGCATGGACGTGGAGAAACCCCGCTTGTTATCCCCTCAATATCGGTGCACGTCCATGGCACCTTCTTCGCCTTCGGTGCCATTCCAATTGTAACATTAGAAATGCAGATCTCCTTGAACGGATCACCTGCAATGCCCTCCAATCTAGCAGCCATCGTCACATTGTCTGCAACCACATCCCTATAATTTATACCTTGAATCACTGGCAGGGCTTTTGGGTCGTAGTTTTTATCAGCATGTGACCCGTAATTTCCAGTCATCCAGAAGACCCATTTCATGGTATGCATAGTCATTCTCTTCACGTATATATTTTTCACATAACCTCCTCTCCCCACAGCGGTTTTTATCCTGACCCCAGATTCCGTATGGACGGCTGTGATGTCCTCTGCTCTAACATCTTCTATCCCACCTGACATTTCACTCCCTAGTGCAATTGTGGCACTGTATGGAGAAATACATGTGAGCCGTCTGATGACCAATTGCTTTGTGGGCATCCCAAATGCAATCCCATACTCATCCCAGCCGCTTTTAACTGCCACACAATCATCTCCAGAAACTATGTAACAATCTTCGATTTTAGTGTTTGTGCAGGAGTCTGCAAAGTCATACCACAAAATTTATTAAAAGCTGCCAAAGTTGTTCTTTGCAAATTATTAGGCTCATGGACCCATCGGATGTAACATATTTGGGTTTTAAGTTCTTCCCATTTTACGTGCTTAGACAATAATGAGCTGATCATGAATCAGGGAAATACAAACCTGGGTTGATACCATCGGTATTTGGTGACTTGAGCGGAGCAATGATGGTGATGCCTTGCACAATAATATTACTGCAATCGCACGATTAATGGAAAAATTAACAAGGGAAAAGATTAGCCGTGAAAGTCTATATATATATAATCATAATCATTTTTTGGAAAAACGGGATAATTTACTAATTTGATGTGGAATGATGTGATGATATTGACAGCATACAAGAGGGTACAGAATACCTGCTGTAAACAGGATGAACATTCCAAGATGGGGAATTCAGGAGCGTTAGATTTGAAATTTGGATATTATCTGAGAACATGATCTCAATTAAGTAAGGCCTGGTGTATTTTAGCTTGCCTCTGTGGAAATTCTCCCACCAGAATGCTCCCTGACCATCGATTGTGCCATTGTCCCCTGCATTTCGAATTTATCCCTCTTCGTAAGATTGAACCGCAGGTAAACATGATATATGATTTTGTTGTTATAATTTGTAAAAAAATTGTTCTTGATCTCTCTCATCACTTCTTAATTTTTATTAATTACCTGTAATGATAACGTCGGTGAGGTTTGTTCCAAATATGAGACTGCTGTACCTTCCAGCTGCTGCATCCCTCCCTCTGCCGTATGATGGCAGAGCTTTCATCACTGGCCATTCGTTCATATCCTAAACCAATTCATCATCGACTTGTCTAATCAGCCAAGCAGATTATATACAACACTTAAATATGAAGAATTACGACTTTCAAGTGAAGAAGTGCAAGATTTTTTTCTTTTCTAGAAAGAGGGGGACACTAGCATTTGTATGTGTAACCATGCAGACCTGAGAAGCAAGAAGGACAGCATCCTTGTGGAGGTAGAGAGTGAAGTGGCTGGCGAGGCTGAAGCTACCAGTCAACCATTTTCCAGCAGGAACAATGAGCTGAGACCCACCATTCGCTGCAGACTGACTCAAATGATCAATTGCATCCTTAAACGCTTTAGTGTTTGATGTTTTTCCATCCCCAACTCCTCCAAAATCAGTTATCGAAGCAGTGTGAGCTCTGCAATTTATGGCACTGTACTCAAAGGAGCCCAAAATCTTTGCTTTTCTACTCTCAGCACCTCTTAGACTAATGAATGCAACCACAAGCAATGCTAGAACCACATTAGTCACCTGCAAGCTCATAATGGGGCAAAGAAGAAAGAAAATTAATTAGCTCTAATACTCATCAAGAAAAGATAAATATTTGACAGAATTAGGGAAGTTCGGTTCTTTTGTTTGCTAAATGAGAAAATGAAGGTTGGAGAAGGTATAGAGAGTTGTTACTTGAATTCCCATGGAACTTATCCGCAATAATTATTTTATGGGAAAGGTGAATGTAGAATTTGTTATGTGAATTTTGTATAGACAGATGAGGTACTTATAGGGAGAAAGTTAAGGATGTTGGATTCTCCTGGTCAGGTTGCTTGTCGTTCTTTCAACTTTCAAGTAATGCTTCTCGTGATTCTATCTCAAATTGCTGATGGTATTGACATCATATATAACTGAAACATTATTCGACCATAAACTTTATTATAAATTTTGATAATATTTGAGTTTCTAATTTGACAAATAATGTTGTGACTTATCTTGAAGCAAAGAACATCGACTAGCTACGAATATTTTGTGCCGTAATACAAGGAATCATTAGTCCTTTCGTAATCATGACCAAGTTTTCGGATTGAAGAATGCTACAAGCAGCAATGAATTATACAATTGTCCTTTTTTTACTTTTTTCCTTCTTTAGTTAAAAGATGAAATGGGCAGCGAAGATGCGACAGACTATGCAGCGGAAAGTCGGTACGCAAGAAAAAGCACCTTTTTTAAACTTCCTTAGCTATCCAATCGGCTACCTTATTGGTCTCTCGATTGACAAGCAAAACAGAATTGCTCGAAACAGTTTTAATGATGATCATTTGGAAGATGGGTGAGCACTCGGTTCAAATTTAATGATTACATAAATCACAACCATCCATTAAATTCATCTTATCTCCACCCTTCCACTGTCCACGCCTTCTCATTAACCATTATCTAAATCATCTTTTTTTTAACTAAAACTTGGTTTTCTCCCGCCTTATGCGACGACAATAAATATTTATAATCGGGAGCTCGTGAGATTGTCGAAGCTAGCAGAGAGCATGTGAGCATGGGATTTTGGAGGAGTGTGGTGGTTGCTCTTTGGCCTCTTCTGTTGGAAAGTAGTTAGTGGGTCCCATCTATACATCGCTTTCTTGGGTTTTGCATCAAAGCATTCAATCCCGTGAGCGGCCTCCTCTCACAACGCACCACCACCCCACCATTGCCGACCCACTTCACGGGTGGAAATATAAAAAGATTTAGGCCCACTTCACTTCTCATCATTAACAGCATTCCCAGGCTAGAATATACACAGCCACAATTGGCGCTTCAAACTCCAATACTTCAAGATTGGGTAAATTTCAACTTTTCTGCTTCAGCTTGATGGGTTGTTTTAATTTCACTTAAAAGCAACTTTTGGTTTTGTTAAATCTTTTATTCTTGTTTCAGTTAAACCTCGTCTATTTTTTTTTTCAATTTTTACTTAATAACATAACTTCTTTTTTTTGTCAATATTATAATTAAAAAATTAAGTTTCAAATAAATTTAATTCTACGTGGTTTCAAACTTATCCTATCCTTGCTCTACCATTACAACCATATAATATTTCAATTTTTATTTTTTCAGAATACTTGTGTAAGATTTTATGACAATTTTTTATTGAGAATTAGATAAAATGTGTAGATATAACATCCTAGCGGGAGAGCATGAGAGAAACAACAACATGGATGGTTGATGTTGTTCTTGTTTATTTTTTCATGATATTTGTTTTTAATTTAATATTATTCTTATATTTTCAAATAATTAATAAATAGTGTTGATAAAAAAATATTTTTTATCATATTTATTTTACTAAAAAAAATTCTTTTAATATAATTTTTATTTATCATTTTTATCTTTTAGTTTATATTGACATATTTTATTGACTTCGAGAATAAAATTAAAATTCACATTTTTTTTGTTATTATATTCTGACAAAAATGAATGGAAATAGAAAATGAAACAAATATAGAATAAGATATAAGTTGTGATTATAATAAATCAAGTTTTAGTTGAAATTAAAACAATGAATAAACCTCAAGAAGGTAAATTGAAATTTACACCTTTTTTTTATTAGATAAATTAGACTATTAAAGTTCAGCTACAGCCCAATAGGGACGTACTTTAAGCCACAAGATTTAGATAGAGGAAAATATACTTTCGCACACACGTTTTGGTAATAATATTTTTATAATTATGCAAACAAATCCTTAAAAGGACACGAAATTTTACCATCTTCTTAATGTTTTTTTGTCTTCTCAACTTTCTGAGAGTCACATAGGAAATGTGAGTACAGTTTGATCCTTTAATTTTTTAAAAGATACAATCACATCATTGTTTATTTAAATTGAAAATGAGACATTAAGAGCACATATATATAAGGATAACAAATGAAAACCATGAAAATTCCATAAGACTTAGAATAAGTTTTTTAAGGAGGTGGGTTAATGATAAATGCCTTTTAAATGAAAAGGAACATAAAACTCCAAAAAAAAAAAAAAAAAAAAACAGCTTGCATGCTAAACATATTAGGTTTTTTTTAACAAAAAAATAAATTCGGCACTTTTTAATATAATTTTAAATATTTAGGGACCATTTAAAAATCATAATTTAGATTAAGAATTGTTTGTGTTGGAAAAAACTTATGTATTGTTTTAAATTTAGTAGCAAAACCTATGAATAGAGGTGTAAATTAAGGATTGTAGCGAAACTCGAGTAAAAACAAAAAAGATTAACAAACAAAAATAAGATTCTAATTAGTGATAAAAAAAAAAAAAACTGAAGATGTAATGAGAAATGTTATAGTTTTATTTCATTAGCTAAAAAAGATTTCCTAAATATCTAATAAATATAACATTGTAGTAGCACCATCGTCAACTTTAAGGCTGAGCAGTGAGGAGGGTTTTTTTTTTTTTTTTTTTTGTTTTGAATTTTCTATCTAAACATGAATAAATACTTTTGATCAAGTCGGAGATGGATTTAATTTCGATGCAAGAGTGCTGCATTACCGTCAAACTGGAAACAAAAAACTTCAAACGAGGATCAAAATGCAAACCGCGCAAATTTTTAAAGCATTGTTCGCCAATCAGCCCGAGTCTCAAAATCTAACACTGGTTAATCACGAGAGCATTATACACTAACAGTTTCAAATAAACTAATGTCCAAACAAGATTCTTGTTAGTGGACCTTTCTGGTTTAAAAAGCATTTCCCTCTCTCTCTCACGGATGAGTCCATTCTTTCTTTCAAGCACTTAATTTGTCCTCTTCTAGAAACCAATTTCCCATGTTTGAATACACTTCGGATTGTTGGGTAACTTATCCATTCCAACACCAAGCCTGGGCATTGGATTAGAAACGGAAACTAGCCTTTTGTTCCTGCTACTGCTAGTCTGCTAGATTACAAGTGGACCACGTTTAAAGAAGAAGAGCAATGAAAAAAAAAAAAACGGTTAAATAGTAAATTTTGCCATCGTTCTATTATCCTTTGATAATTTTAAATTTATAATATCAAATTACATAATTTGAATTCTAACGTATTGGATATTGAACAAATATGATTCCAATTGCTTAATCTTCATCATGTGTAATAGTTAACTAGATTAATCGTTACTTAAAATATCAAAACGAATTAGTTTTAACATTTTACTACCAATTATTTTTTAAATAAAAATATTTTTAACCTTCCTAATCTTGAGTTTTTTTTAAAAAAAAACTTTTTTCTCTTGTAAAATATTATAAAAATTATATAAAAAATATTTTATAAATATTTTTAACCTCCTAATTTTGAACTTTAAAAAAAAATCATAAAATGTTATTGTAAGAAAACATAATTAATAATACAAAATTTTAGGCCTTAAAAAATATTTTATAAATTAAAATGAGCATAATTAAGGATTGACCCTCCTAATTTTATAAATTATAAAAAAATATTTTTTATAAAATGTTTATAATATTGTATAATACTTTTTTTTAAAAAAAATCAAGATTAAAAGGTTAAAAATATTTTTAAAATACATTAAAAAAACATAATTAACGAGTGGCATACCAAAACAACGTCGTTTGGCATTCCAAGTAACGGTTAACCGAATTGATCATTACACAGGAATTGAGCAATTTGGGTCACATTTTGTCTAATCTTCAATACTTTAGGTTTCAAACTACGCAACTTGATACTATGTGTCTAAAATTATGAAATCACAATAAAATTGAAACAAAACTTGTCATTAAACCGAAAAAAAAAACCTTATAATTCAAGTATCTTACAAACTTATTTTTTCGATAATGAAGTATCCTACAAACTTAGCTGAAGTGCCATGCACCATTCTATGATTGGAATTTGAGATTGATATCTGAATATTGTTGTTTTAAATAATAATATTGCAAAGGATGATGTCACTCGTTGGGAAGCTGAACTTCTGTTTAATAATTTTGAGGTTGTGGCTCAGAGCTTGACTACAGCAACGAATAAATTGTTTTCTTTGGTTTTGCAGGAAGAAATCTTCCTAAGGTAAATGGCAAGGATAAAATGGCTAAAGGAAAGGGATCGAAACCGAGCCTTCTTCCATGTAAGTATATGGGCTGGTAAACAGCAAAATAACATCTCCCTGAGAACTAATGGTAATATTTGCATATATGAAACTGCAATAGGCAATGGTGCAGTCACATATTTTTAGAGCCTCTTGTAAGCGAGTTCGGTCCCTCCTCCAGATGAGCTCCTTGAAGTTGTCCCCTGTTTAGTCACTGCAGAACAGAATCTCATGTTAACAGAGATTCCATCGGCATCATAAATAAAACAAGTAGTATTTGACATCAATCCATCCAATGCATCGAGTCTAGATGGTTTTACTAGGGCTTTCTATCAATCTTGTTAGGAAGTGGTTGAAAAATCTCTAATTCAGGCGGTTCATGACGTGTTTGCAGGTGGTAGTATACCTAAAGTAGTAATAGCAACGTCCATAGTCCTTATTCCAAAATGCAGGAACCCATCAGAGTATAGTGATTTGAGGCCAATTAGTCTTCGTAATGTTTTT